CAAAACTAGGTTAGGAACCAGGTCTGTTTGAGTCTGGAGTTTGGGTCCTGAACCACTGTTCTATATTCTCTCTTCTGTTTGAAAACCTGAGTGATGACTGAGGCAGGAGGATCACGTCTGGCAGGAGGTGCCAGCCTGGACTACATATGTGAAACCCTGTGTCAAAGACAAAACCAAAACCAAAACCAAACAAAACAAAACAAAAGCCTCTGGAGGGAGTAGTCAATAAATTCTACAGCATATCACTGAAGTCCTTTACCCCCAGGTACCATCGATTTTTGTGGACATCATCAAGATTAAGAACTTCCACTTTGCAAAAGACACTGTCAAGAGGAGAATACAAACTGTAGATCAGGAGAAAATATTTGCAAAACATGTATCAGATAGAAGAGTGTTATCCAAAAGAAACTCCTAAAATTCAACAATAAGAAAATAAGCAACCTGATTTAAAAGCAGGAAAGATATTCCAGACCTAATAATGAGTATTTTCATGTTTATTTGCCATGTTCTTTGGCCCAAGAAATATGACAAATAAACATGAAAAAAACACTCAACATATACTATTAGGGAATTAGAGATTAATACAATTGATACCACTACCTACCTGTTAGAATGATTAAAATCCAAAATATCTTCCTATTTATAAATGACATTATTATCTACATCAAAAGAACTAAAACATGAATTCATAAAGATCAGAGAACACAATGTCAATAAAAATCAATCATATTTGTATATACTACCAATTGTTGATTAGAAATGTAAATTTAAGCTGGGTATGGTGGAATATGCCTGTCCTCTCAGCACTTGAGAGGCAGAGGCAGGAGGATTGCAAATTTGAGGCCAACCTGGGCTATGTAGTGAAACCCTGTCACAAGAAAACCTCCAAAAACATTTACAATAATACTATTTATAGTGGCTCCCCCAAAATTAACTACTAATGTATAAATCTACCAAAGCATGTACATGCTACGAATGCTTAAATCTGCAAAACGTTGATAAAAATCAAGGAAGACCTAAATAAATAGAGATGTGTGCCATGTTCATGTATTAGAAGGCAGGACATAATAATGATGTCAATTTTTTCTAAACTGATCTCCAGATATAATCCAATTCTAATAAAAATCCGAGGAGTTTTTTTCTTTTTTGGCATTACTGGCGGCTTGAACTCAGGGCCTTCACCTTGAGCCACTCCATTAGCCCTGGTTTTATTTTTTTGTGTGTGTGAAGAGTTTTTTCGAGATAGGGTCTCACAAACTATTTTCTAGGCTGGCTTTGAACTGCGATCCTCCTGATCTCTGCCTTCTATAATCCTAGCTAAGATTATAGGCATGAGCCACTGGCACCCAGCCAGTGGCTTATCTTCTCTTATTTTGAAAGGCAAATAAACTAGACTAGCTAAAATAATTGTGAAGCACAAAGTTGGGGAAATCATATTACTTCAACAATTTCTATATCATTGTGTCTAGCACAGTATGGTGTTGGTAAAGGTACAAACTGCTAAATTAATAGAACAGAATCCAAAAGGGCTGGAAATGTAGCTCAGTGGTAGAGCACTTGCCTAGCTTACATAAGGCCCCAAGTTTAATTCCCAGCAGCACAAAAAAGAAAAAAGTGAAAAGAATACATTCCAGAAATAGATGCACATGAATATGGTCAATTGGTTTTTTAACACAAATGTGCAAAAGCAATTCAATGACAAAAGATAGTCTTTTTTAAATGATGTTAGAATAGTTAGGCATTCTAAAAAACGTGACTTAAATCTCATACCTTACAAAAATAAGTATATAAATGTAAAGCATAAATACTTAGAAGGAAACATAGACAGAATTTTTACATATAATACCAAAAGTGTAACCCATTAGAATGGGTAAATTAGACTTTACCAAAACTTAAAACATTTACTCTTCAAAGGCAGTGTCAGGAGAACGAAAAGACAAACTGCAGACTGGGAAAAATAAACGCAAATCACATATTTAACAAAGGACTTGCATCCAGAATATATAAAGAAGTCTCAAAACTAGTAAGAAACCACAACTGCTGGAGGTGTGGCTCCAGTAGTAAAGTGCCTGCCTCACAAGCCTCATAAAGTTCCAACCGCAGTACCGCCAAAAGTAAAAAAGAAAGAATCCACTACCCCATTTTAAAAATGACAAAAGCCTAACAGAAGACTTCACTGCAGAAAATATTCTATATATAGAGAGATTCTATATACAGAGTACATATAATATATATACTTGAAATTTATGTCAATAATTTATTTTAATGAGTGCAGACTATATAATCTATTTAAAATTCTAGAAAAGGCAAAACTCATAAGCCAGAAAGCAGTCCAGTGGTTGCTTGCAGGTTGACTACAGAAAGGGCAGGAGGGAGCTCTTTTGAACCATGAAGATCATGATGGTGCTTACATAGGTGTGTGCATTTGTTAAAACTCAAAGTTTTAAACTCACTGTAGTTATAGTGCAATGTTTGTAAAACTGTGGTGGAGGACTTTCTATTAGTGAATAACCAAATGACAACATTAGTACCCTGAAAGCAATGAGGCTCAAGTTTCAGGCCCCCGCATCGAAAGGCCGTGGTTACTAATTTTGTATTAAGAATTTTGTAGAGGCACAGCTACCTGCAAAAGCAAAATTGGCTAGGTAGGTGAGACACTAAACTGATCATGGAGCATGGCTTCTGGATTCATGGATTTTCTTCAAAACTTCAAGGAAAAGAAAAAAGAAAAAAAAAAAAACCTTCGGAGGTGGGGTTTGGTGGCTCAAGTGTAGAATGGAGAGTGCCTCTCCAGCAAGCAGGAGGCCATGAGTTCAAACCCCAGCACCGCAAAGCAAATAAACAATTACATACTCGTAAATGGATACACAAAACAAATACATAAATAACTAAAAACTGCTGAGGGGCTGAGCATGGGGACCATTGGCCTAGTGCTGGGTGAGGCCCTGGTTTCATTCCTCAGCATTGGAAGAAAAGCAAAACAGGGAGGGGCAAAAAGAGAACTTGGTATTCTTTTTCTAAAAGAGCCCGCCCCCCAAAAAAAGTGTTAACTTTCAGGCTCCATAAAACCTGGATCTGCTCCTATGTTACAAGAATTTTTTTTTAATGAAATGGACAGTAAATATGAGTGTTTTGAAATACTTTTTTTCAGCTTATATAATGGACCGAGTTTTGTAAAAACTTATTTTTTTTAACCAGGGTTTGTGTTTAAATGCACACACACACACACACACACGTTGAATTCAGTGCTGTATAGAAGCCTGTGGACATGTGCGCTGGATGTGTACACATTCAACACAGCCTGTTCCTAAGCGTGATATTTGAAATAAACCCAAATGCTCATCAATCTGAAAGCAAAAAATACATTGCAGTACGGGTATGTGTGAAATTTTTCTATCACCAAAAGAATGTCAGATGGATGACTCTAACACAATACTAAGTTAAATGCAGGTCCTGAGGTCAAGCCCCAATGCCGCTCTCCCATAAAAAAAAAAAGGCAAACAAGAAAACTGTTAACAAGACTGGTCAGTGCATGCGGATTTTTGCTGTGCTAGTCTGATCCTTTTCAGATTGTGTTATATACTGTATGTATATTATTGCAGTATATTATTGCATATTGTGTGGTTGGGGCATTTACATACATAATTAATCTTCACGATGGCCTTATGAAGTAGACAAGAATGATTTTCCTGTTCCCTAAGAAGGGAACGTAAGATGACAGGACAGTTAAGAGCTGGACTGGGACTCAACAGTTAGCTCCTTGTTTGGCCTAGATTTGCACAGGAATTCCTTCAAGCCCAGTTTGATATCAGTTTGAGTTGCCTTCCCCCACCCACTCATTGCCAACCTTGGGAGAATAAAATTGTAAATAATTGCCAAAGTTTTTCAAAAAGGCTGCGTTCGAAGTGCTCGGGAGCGACCTCCAACAATGACGGATGGATACATATTTGCAAGTCAGCTGCTAGGCAGTGCAGGCAGGTCCTCTCCTTCCACTGTCTCACTCAGCGTCCATGAACAAATCATTTCACCTTTTCTACATACATTTACAATCCCCTAAACCCCAATGTGTAACATTCTCAGGCTGCTCACTTGGGCTGCTGCTTGAACATTCTTCAAAAATGAGACTGATTTAATAAAGTCAATCAAAATGCAACTCTCTCCAACTTTTCATATTAAAACTAACAATCTTCGCGCCCACTAATCTTCGGACTTTTCTTTTCACTCATTTGAATGTGTTGGCTATCTTAAAGGAGATAGTTTTTATTTTATAAAGATTAATAACTCTTAAATAATTAAATTAATTTGTTAAAAAATAATCAATGCTTAGAATAAACGTGAGCAGAATGTGGTGGCGCACACCTGTAATTTCACAACTGCGGAGGCAGAGGCGGGAGGATTGTGAGTTCGACACCAACCTGGACTACATAGCAAAACCTCTCTCAAAAGCAAACAAACAACAAAAAACCAGTTTATATTCTAGTGCCCCTTTTCTTCCGAACTGGCTCGTGAAGATTTTTGGAAGCAAGCGGTAATACTAAGGATGCCTTATGAAAATCTTTGACGTTCTGAATATTATGGTATGGAAGAAGAGGGAAATCCAGGATCCAGGAAAACGCAGAGATCCACTAGGAGTCTTGCGCGTTCCAGCGCTCCAGGTTGGGGGTTCCCGACCTTTGCCATGGTGTTGGGGAGGCTGTGGGGTTCCAATGGGGATCCAGCCCTGAAGGCTTCTGGCAAAAGAATCGGAGCCCTCTCGCGGCGGGGCTGCCCCGGGCAGAGGCCACAGGTCCCTTTAAGGCGCCCCGCGAGCCGAGATTGGGGAGCGAAGGGGGGGAGCAAGGTTCCCGAGCGCCCGCCACGTGACTCGGATTGCAAGTTCGCCTGCGAGTTTGACAGAAGTTTGAATCGGACTCGAGGGCTTCTGCAGCCGGCGGGCAGCGCGGTGCCACGCCTCGGCGAGCGCAAGCAGCAGCGCCCCCACGACCCACCCGCCAGCCTGGATCCCGGCCCGCCGACGGCGCGCAGCCAGCAGCCCCCAACTCCATCGCGGTCCCCGCAGCCTCCCGGCGAGGGAGCCGAGCCCCGGTGCTGCGCCCCGGCCCCGCCGCGCCAGCATGTCCTCGACGGAGAGCTCCGGCCGCACCGCGGACAAGTCGCCGCCAGCAGGTACGTCCCGCGCGCCCGGGGACTCTCTCACCGTCTCCCTCGCCACCTACTCATCGGGCCTAAATCGGATTCCGACCCCTGTCCCCATCCCACCCTCTCATCTCTCAGTCTGAGTAGGAGGAGGGGGGGACAGCGCAGTCCTCGGCCCGGATGTCTTCACCGCGCGGCTGGCTCTGTCTCTGCAGGTGGACCGCTGCTTGTGGGGCTGCGCTGGGGGCGGCTGGAGGAGCCGTTGGGCTTCATCAAAGTTCTTCCAGTGGGTGAGTCTCTGTCCCAAACCCCGGCTATTCGGGAGGCCCGGCTGTGACGCTGACCCGAAGCAATGTGCCCGTGGGGGCTGGGGAGGTGCTGCAGTCGGGCCATCACCGCGGAAGGGTGGGGGCGGCGACAGGTGGGCGGGGAGGGCGGGCTGGGGCGCTTCTCCAGCACTCGGTGGCAGGAGGGTGAGAACAAGGCATGGAGTCCCGGATTCGGTCCTTCTATGTGCACGGAGCCTTTGCCAGGGCGGCTCACATTTCACTCGGGCGAGAGACCCGCGGTGTAACCTTTCCAGAACTCTGATCCTGCCACATACCACTCCTTGGTGACAGGAGGGGAGGAGGACGAAGGGGATAAGGGTCCGTTTTTCACCGTGAGGAAGCCTTCAGAGGGCACTGGAAGGGAAGGAGGCGGGCTATAGAAACCATCCTACTCCCAAACCCTGTAGGACCTAGGCAATCCTGGAATGGACTCAGGGACAGGTTCCCAGTTGAAGGTCACTAGAGTTGTCTGAGAGGTTTCTGAAACTCAGGGAGAGTGAGTGAATGAATGAAAGAATGAATGAGTGAAGCTCACAGGTCCTAAGATTAAATAAAAGAAAAAGAAAAAAATCCAGACAGTAAAAATCACAGAACAGCCTTAACATGTGGCATTGCAGAGTAAGCCAGAACACAGACCTGCGAGGCTGGGGCCTTGAGTTCCAGATCTGGACCTGCCTTTCTCAGCTATTTTGACCTTGGGCAAGTCACTTCAGTTTCCAGCATTAGTCAAATGTGGATCAGACATTGGTAGGGTTCCTTTAAGCTTTAAATAGGTTAGCATGCTAGGATATGAGCCTATATTAGACTTACCCTATGACCTTGGAAAACTCATTTGCCCAGGTCCTCAATTTCCCCTGTTTTGGTCTAGTGGAAAATATATCATTGCTTCACTGGTTCTTTGAGACACTGGTATGCTCTCTGTTCTTCGAAATGCCCAAGACCTCCTGGGTGACAAATTTGCAAATCATAAAGACTTTTTGGGGATCATTTTAGTGCACTACTGAAGAAGAAATTTTAAGTTAGATACCCAATGGTATGTGAATAACTTAATATGCTCAGGACAGAACTCAGCTAGGGAATAAATTACCATTAATACTTAGAGGATTGAGTTCTAAAGGACTTTTGAACTCACTGGAGACAGGAGTTAGCACTGTGTCATCAACTCCTAAGTCATGGGTTTGGATGAGAATCACCAAATTTGGAATTCCGGGCAATAGTGCATTTGGGATATCCTGTCGGACATCTGAGACTCTGATCGAGGGCTACAGGCAGCCTGAGGAGCTCTCTGGACCTGGTGAGGACTTTTCACTTTTCCCATAACTGCCTCATAAAGCAGCAGTGAGAGACCAACTTCGGCTGACTGAGCTCTTCCACCTCCTTGCCACTTCCCTGCAATGTTCTGAATATACCTAGACCCCCGCCCCTTCCACCCCCCCCCATACCCTTCAACACTCCCCCCCTCTACAACACCCCCCCCACCTCTTTTCCCCCCGCCCTCCCCTTTCCCCGCTTCCCCCCTCACTCCACCTCCCCCCAGCCTTTTAAGTTTATCTAACTGAGGGACCAATATTGAATCTTATAGAATCGATATTAGCCAGGCACCAGTTTTCCCTGACTGTCTCACACCCTGGTAATTCTAGCTATTCAGGAGGCAAGTATCAAGGCCAAGATCCCAGTACAAAAGCCGGCCACGTCCAGGCAAATAGCTTCTACGCACATAGCAACCCATACGTCTACACATTAAAAAAACCCATCACGCTCCCAAAGACTGGCAAGGATAGCTCAGCGTTGTTAGGCAAGTGCCGCCTGTCTTCAGCAAGTCGTTTGATGCCCTGGAGTTTCAAACCCCAGTTGCCACCAAAAAACAAAGAATGATAGTAAGCTTTCCAAGTGACTGGCATCCCAGAAGTAGAAGAACCATTATAAGCAATCCAGAGGAGCAGAGTCCAAAATTAATAAGTACAGTTTACCATTACTAGACAAATGTATCTAACATTTAGACTGTCATGGGCTAAGGGAAACAATGAAGTTATTAGAACCATGGACTCATCTTTCCTGGAGGAATTTCTGAAAAGCTTCCTTCTTCAATCCTACTATTCTCTCCAGCCCCGGTAACCTTAACAACTCCATTAAAGTTTGCACAAAGCAGTTCCTAGGGAGATAGCCCCATTGTCTGCCCAGGGCCAGCACTGATGCCCTAGGAATTAAGATGTGTTTGATTTTTATGATCTTCAGCTTTGTACAAAACAGAGACCCCTTTTTCTCACACTGCTAAATCCAGGAGTCTGGGAGTGAGCTAGTCTTCATTCACAGGGCAGAATCATAAGAAGATATTTGGTTTTTCTTGCCATCCCAGGTACCCTAAATTCAGGGACATGAGTTTCACTTGTTTTGAATCTTTGCAGATGAGTTAACATAGAAGTACAGAAATAGTGTAAGCACAGAATGATGGTGAAAATGTGTCACATTTAGATTTTTCACCCATGTTTCTGCCTGGAGGGATCAAATGCTCCTGATAGAGGAGGAAAACAGAAAACACAAATCTTGCAGTTATCTTACTGGTAATTGAAAACTTTTGTCGTCATTATTGCCAAAAAGCAAAGGTTTTGCAGAATCCTTATGAGAAGAAAGTGATGTGATTCTTTCATGGATCAGGAGGAGTTTAGCTTAGAGTGTCTTTAAGATTCAGATTTTAAGCTAGGCTTGGTGGTTAACATCTGTAATCTCAGCATTTGGGAAACTGAGGTAGGAGGATCACGAGTTTAAGGCCATAGTGAGACCCTGTCTTAAAAAAACAAAGCAAAAAGATTCAGAAATTAATTAATCTTCCTCAATTTCTATTCTAAACTCTAAGTCTATACCAAGCTAGCCAAATAACCTGGGTGTACACCAACTATTAGAGAACTAGTTTTTGTTGGTTATGGTGTTTTGTTTTTTTTTTGAGACAGGGTCTTAATATGTAGCTTTGGTTGGCCATGAATTCAAAATCTTCTGGCTTCAGCCTCCCAAGTATTGGGATTACAGTTGTGTGCCACCACCCCCGGCCTGGGAATTAGTTTTTTGTTTGTTTTAAATAGAAGGCAGATTTTGGGGTCACATGGACTTTGTTTAAATTCAATCTCCTCTGCTTTCTAGCCTAGAAAATTGAGCTAGTGATAAAATATTTATGAAGCTCGTACTATCTGTAAATGAGGGTAAGACCCATCTTATGGGCTCGCTGGGGGAATTATAGGAGGTAATGCATAGAGCATTCAGGAGGGACCATAGTGACTGTTTTCTGTAAGTGTTGGTTCACTTTCCTTCTATTCCCAAACCTCTCCTTTCCCCTAACTTTCTCCCTTATTCAGACTGTCTAGGTTTCAGCTTTGGTTAGATTATTCAAACATCACTGGCAAATCCTCAGCTTGATGGTAAGGTGCAAAAAAAAAAAATCTCTAGACGACTCAGCCATTATTCCATATAAATAAGTCATATTACTTTACATAGGGGTGTCCTTCTGATGAGTTTTTCACTTTCGGTACCAAAGTCACTTATTTGACTCTGGGGTCTCTGTAATGAAAAGAAATTTTTCAGTAAGTGTGAAGAATTTGAAAGGACATCACCAGAGTCCATTAAAAAAATAGGATGATTGTGCAGCAGGATTTGGGGAAGACCTTGTTTTCTTCCGTGCACTGCACTAACTGATAATATTGGTGTTTTCTGAACTGTATTGTCAGCACCAAGCAAGTCAGCATTCAAGTGGAGCCTCACCTTTACACTGGGAAGGTTATTCTGACATTTTGCAAAAGAGATGCAGAGGCAGGAGAAGAGGTGGGGGTACCAGGCAGAATATGATCACCACTATTCCCAGCAATGCAAGTCCAGGAGGAAGAAAACTGGTTGACACCAGAAATCTAGAAATCTCTCTGTTCTCAGGTTCTCTATCTTTGGCTGCTGGTCTTTATGACCAGTCTGCTCATCTCAGAGCTTTGTGCATGGTGACAGAGGTAGTTCCAGTTCTTTCCCTCTCACCCATGGGCTTAGTCCCTTGCACAGTTAGGAAAGGAAGCAAATCTGGTACAGAAAGGTGGAGTCATGGAGGGACTAGGCTAGAGTGTGTCTTTCTGCTTCTGCAGCCCAGTGCACAGAGATACTCCCTTCTTCTTGAATCCTCTCTGCACATAGTATAGAGACTCCTCCTTTAGCCTTAGTAACTCTGGTTACGAAGGCTTTGTCTTTTGCTTGTTTGTTTTAACATGACACTTCTTTCTTGATGTGAATTCTCAAGAGCAGGAACTAGATCTTACTCATGTTCATATGTCTAGTATCTAGGCACAAAGTAGAGCTCAATAAGTGTAGAGAATGAATAAATAAATGAAATAGAAACAACTCTGGACAGGAAATCAGGAGATGGGAAGTTGAAGCTAGGCTCTCACATTGGCTAAACGTGATTTTGAGAAAGTCACTTAATCTTTTGGGGTTTCTGTTTTCATCTCTGTGAAACTAGCCCATTGGGCTTGATAATCTCTGAGATCCTTTTTGCTTTGTTGCTCTGGGAACCTGAGGCTCTCCTCAGACTTTCCCATTATCCGCTTATATAGCAAACCATCTGTTATCTGGCACTATCTGACTGCTTAGTGCTCAGACTTAAACATGTGTCTGTGGGTTAGAGATATGGCTCAGTAGAACAGTGCTTGCCTGGCATGCTTAAGACCCCAGCTTCAATCTCCAGCACTAAATAAATAAATAAATAAATAAAAATAAACAAACGTATTCTGTAAGTAAAAAACCCATCATGAGTGATGTTCAGAGATTCCTCACTTCCAAATAATTAGAGTGGAAGAGAGTAGAGTTAGCAGTGAAGTTATTACAGGTATATTCTGAGAAATCAGAAAGCAGGGGCCAGAACTTGCAGGAGCTCAAAGTTACCATTTGCACATAGCAGAATTTTCAGTGATGATGGAAAAGTTGTATAATCTATACAAGTGGCTATTGAGCACTTGAAATGTGGCTGGTATGACTGATTGAATTTTATTTTATTTAAATTAATTTAAATAGCCACAGTTGGCTAGTGGCTACTGCTTTGGATAGTACAGCCCTAGAGTGAGAACTTCATGGGAACAGATTTTTTTTTTCCTTCTATGTTTACTGCCAAATAGTAGTGCCTAGAACAGTATCTGGTACATAATAGTTGCTTGAGAAATGTACCTTTTTTTTTTTTTTGGCAGTATTGGGGTTTGAACTCAGGGCCTCAAGGCTTGCTAGAGGCAAGTGCTCTATCATAAATGTCTTCTTTCTGTAGCTGTTTAGCAGTGCCTGTCAAGGGAGGATTAGGGAAGAGAAGACTCCATAACTAACCATTCACTCTTTAGAATGGTTTGGAATCCCTACATACTTTCTTAGGAAGTCTCTAAGGAGTTACTCCTTACTAACTGCCAAAGGGTAAAAAATATATCCCACCATGCTGCCCTTTCTAGAACGTGACACCCTAGTTGTGTCCAGTTCTGAGCACCAGAAACTAAGAGGAATAAGGAAATTTCTAGGTGGAATCAAAGAGCCACAAGCCAACAAAGTTGAGGAAATTCCTCTGAGGACAAGCTAGGGAAGTTCCATCATTCTGTCTGGGAGGCAGCTTGAGTATGTGAAGAGTAATGATGCAGTGACTTCTTTTAGGCTGTGTTAAGAAGGTGAGCAAAAAGGACTCTACTGCAGCCTGCATAGTTTAATTCAGATGTGGAAGTTTGTAGTACTACATAGAAGTGACCCTGCCTTCTTTCCTTTGTGTCTTACCAATGGAGGATAGTTCTCATCTGACTGGAACAAACTTCCTGAAAACAGAGGTGCACACTTTGACCTTTAGATAGAAGTCAGTGGCTTTAGCATGGAACCAGGCCAGGCCACGAAAGGCGGGGCAGTGGCACCGGATACCACCCAGGGGCAAAGCACAGCTGTTGGCAAATCTAGCCAAGGGTATGCTAATAGTGTTAACTTCAGAGGGTGAGAGAATTCCAGAGCTAGAAAAGGCTTCTATATGATGTTCAGACCCCTCATTTAATAGACAAGGAAGCTGGGATGCAGAGAGTGAAATCACCTGAGTAATTAGTAATAGGGATTTCCAGACTCCTAATTCAGGTCTCTTTTCACGCCTTAACATCAACAGGCATTAGCAAAAAAATGTACAATTTTGATCTAGACTGAATGCAGGACTGGAGTATAGATTAGCTGACTTTTAGGTGCTTAATATCTAGAACACTTGAGTTACAGAGAAACATACATGGCCATATGGGTACAAGAAACAGGCCACCATGATTGTCTCTGCCTTTGTAATAACTGAAGTTTCCTCAAAAAAACAAAACAAAACAGAGAAACATACAGAAAATGAAAAATTAACAGAATAAGCTTACTGCTTAATAAGAACAATCGCATCATGTACAAGCCACAGGTAGGTGCACAGTGAACCAGGGCTGAGCACATGATGTGGGAAAGGGAGAATAAGAGCCAAATTTTTGTTTTGGTTTTGAGACAAGGTCTCATTGTATAGCACAGGCTGTCCTGGAACTTGCTCTGTAGCCCAGGCTGGCCTTGAACTCAGATCCTCCTGCCTCAGTGGCCAAAGAGCTGGGATTACAGACATGTACCAACCATGCCCAGCTGAAATTCATTTTTTTTTGCCTCCTTTTCTAACCAAAGTGTGTTTCCCAGGCAGAAATCTGGAATCATAGGATGGGGACATTTAATTTCACCAAAGGTAGAAGATGTAATCAAATGTGATGAAAGGCAGAGAAGAAAATAATTTCAAGTGGTCTGAAACACCTCTGCTTCTTAATACTGAGAAATGACAGCATCAACAGATTACAAACAGAAATATTAGTGGGGAAATAATGGAGACTAATAAGGCAAGTGAAGGGTACTTTTCTCTGGGCTTGAGCCAGGACCATCAGCATTGGCCCAGCCAGCACTGCTGCTGGAAGGGAATGTGCTTTTGGGGAAAAGAAGTTGTCCCCTCCAACTGTCCTATACCTCCACTGAGGCAGGAAGCCACCAGAAGTTAGCAACAAGGTATGAACAAGATTCCATGACTGGTTCAAAGGAGAAATGAAAAGCACTGTGGGCATGTGTGATCTGGGTTGGTGGAAGGGAATCTATTCTGAAGATGCCTTTCCTTGGGGAGGAAAATTAAGTTTGAGATAGAAGTTTCCAAAGCCCGAAATTCAGAGGTTTTATGTCAATGATCATTTTAAGGAGGCATCTGGCAACTTTTCCTGTCCCTCTGTGACACCATTCAAAGTCTACAATATTCATTTGGCTATTTGGTCCAACATCCTGTGCTGTGAACACAATACCCTGAGCTGAAAGGCAGATAGCGGTCACGGATCTCTGCCCAGGAGGGATGTGATTAAAGAAAATCCTCCCTCCCTGCCTCCCTCACCCCTCAGCATCTGCACCTGCTGGAGTCAGGGGGGGGCGGTTCTTTACCGTGGCCAGGTGAGGCCTTTGAACTCTCAAAAGAGATTCACTTTCTCTCAGCTCTTTGCTATTTTCGCCTTCGGGTCATGCGGCTCCTACAGCGGGGAAACAGGAGCAACGGTTCGCTGCAACAACGAAGCCAAGGACGTGAGCTCCATCATTGTTTTGTTCGGCTATCCCTTCAGGTGAGCAGGAATTTGTTTCCGACCCAGCATGGCCTCTCTCACTAGATTAGCAGGATCTCTCTTCCTCCTCCCTAAAACCTGAAGACCATTTGTTGTGTGCCACTCCAGATTCAAGAAGAATGGTATGACTTGGAGCCTTTCTGCCTATTAACCATTTCAGACATACTAACATGAGAAAAATGTAAGGGAAACACAGGTCATTCTTATGGTTTCCAATCCAAGGTCAGCTCAGATTGGTCACAGCAGCTCAAAGAGAACTCAGGCACTGGGATGGAGGCTGACTGAAGTCTGGGGCAAGTTGGGGAGCTGTCTTTGACCCTCAGCAGCCTCCTCTCCACTTTGAAGTAAGGAAGCTTGTTAGTACTTATAATTGATGTTGGGATGCTCACCTGGTACCACCAGACTACAAGAAGGCACATCTTGACCTGAAGGTAGAGAGAAAATGTTTTCCTGGGTATTTGGGAGCCCAGGGTGGGGGTGCGTGTTTAGAGGAGAACGAAAACTGAGCTAAGTATCTCATATATACAATAGGCTATGTTTTCCTCTTTATTCACAGCTAAATTGGAGAACCTAAATATGGCCTGAGAATGGTTGAGTAAATCTTAATTTGGCCACTGCTTAACCTGGACATGTGTTTTCTGTGGGGGAGGGGGAGAACAAAGCTGATGTGTTTGGTGGCTTGGCTATTAGAAATAGATGAATTCTAAATATATATTGTGGTTGTGACCTAAAGGACCCTGGAGATACTTGGAAATACATGGAGACTTTGTCTGGGCAGGCAGATGGGTGTAGGGTGGTGGCTGGGGAGAGGCAGGCTTTGAATAGAATCTTGGAGAAGTTCCTGACTTGACTGCAAGATTCTCTCCAGAGTGTTCCTCCCTTCATGGACCCTTTTCTTGGCTCTGTAAGACTCTCAGGGTGAAAACTGCACAAGACCACTCCCAGGGCAGGGAAAGAGAGCCTTGCCTAGCTCAGAATGACCTCCTCTGCCACCTGCAGGTTGCACCGGGTCCAGTATGAGATGCCTCTCTGTGATGATGACTCTACTTCCAAGACCATGCACCTCATGGGGGACTTCTCTGCCCCTGCCGAGTTCTTTCGTGACCTTGGCATCTTTTCCTTCTTCTACACCATGGCTGCCCTTGTCCTGTACTTGCGATTTCACAAGCTCTACACGGAGAAACAGGCGCTTCCCACTGGTGTGAGTGAGCACAGGCCAGAGAGATGAGCCCAAGAAACCAAGGAGACATTTGTCAGGCGGCTGATGTCAGAGTTGGAGGACAAACTTGGTAGCTTCCCTAGGCCCCTGACATCTCTGCATGGAACTGCTGCCTCTACCAACCTCCCATCACTTGCTTCTGCTCATGGGAGGCACAATAGCAGCATAAAGAATCAGGCTCTGGATTAGGCCACTAGGTTCAAATCCCAGCACTGACACTCATTAACGATATGAATTTAAGCAAGCTGCTTAGCCTCTCTAAACCTCAGTTTCCTCAGCTATAAAATGGGAATGAAGTAATGCTTGTCTCACAGTGTTTGATAAATGGTAGCGCCAAGAAACCAAGGAGACATTTGTAGGCGGCTGATGTCAGAGTTGGAGGGACCAAACTTGGTAGCTTCCTAGGCCCCTGACATCTCTGCATGGAACTGCTGCCTCTACCACCTCCCATCACTTGCTTCTGCTCATGGGAGGCACAATAGCAGCATAAGAATCAGGCTCTGGATTAGGCCACTAGGTTCAAATCCCAGCACTGACACTCTTAACGATATGAATTTAAGCAAGCTGCTTAGCCTTCTAAACCTCAGTTTCCTCAGCTATAAAATGGGAATGAAGTAATGCTTGTCTCACAGTGTTTGATAAATGGTAGCTATGATTAGTATCATTCCATTTACTTTCTCAGGTGTGCAAGATGGATCATATACTTCAGATAATCCCAATTTTCTCCTCCAATTTGCCTTCTGCCACTACTGATAGCTGAAAATCGTGATCAAAGGGGAAGTAGAGATGAAGAATAGAGAGTTTAGGTTCCTTGGGTTTTTGTTGGGACCAACTAGTAGATAATTCCACATCTTGTTGCCTGACCTTGGTTCTGAGGGCAGGAGTAGGGCAGCCTGAGTGGCAGCATACCTTTGGTGTCAGCAAACAGTCCTCAGGACCATCTGGACCCCCTGAGGTTCTAGGTGTCAAGTAGAATGGGAAGAGGCAACTGTCCTGGGATCCCAGAATTCTAGTGCAACATAAGAGGAAAGGAAATAGGGAATCATGGGGCCTTCCTGAGGTGTGTTTCCTGTCCTCTGCTCCTCCCAGGACTTCTGTGTAACTGTCTCCTTCACCTTCTTCTGGCTGGTAGCTGCAGCTGCCTGGGGCAAGGGCCTGACGGATGTCAAAGGGCTACAAGGCCATCCAGCCTGACTGCAGCCATGTCCGTGTGCATGGAGAGGAGCAGTGTGCAGTGCCGGGGCCACACCCTCTATGGGGCTGGCCAACATCTCTGTGGTGAGACCCGTGGTCACTGAAGGGGTCTGGGGCAAGCATATTAGCTCAGCTGCCCAGGCCTGTCCCAGCTAGGAGATCCTGAGAGGGTGTCCCCAGAGCTGGCATCCCCTGCACCTAAGAGCTACTCTCTCCCCTGCACCTGAGGCTGTCCTGAGAAGACATATTGGAATAAGAGAGTCACTCCTATTTCCCGTCTGTCCTCCACTGCCTCCCACCCTTCCTGCCTGTTGACAGGATGTGTGTGCACATGTGAGCACATGGAGAGGAGCTTAGGGCTGTGGCTGGGTCAGAGCTATGAGCAGACCAGGGGAGAGAGAAGGGATTCATTGTCACTTCGCCCTCCACACCAGAAAAGGGCTTTGGGGTAGTGGTTGGTCAGCTTGTAGTCACGTGTCCAGCCATCCCGGTTGTGAGGACACTGAAATTTGTCCATACTGAGGTGAATAGCTGAGGCTTTGAGCTAATCAAATGCTCTCTGTCACCTAAGCCATCTCAGACCCACTCTGAAAATGCCTTGACCTCCCAAGGCCAACAATTGAAATGTTTGCACACCAGGAAACCTTCTGGAACTTATTGGAACCTTGCTCATAGATTTATCCTCCCACATTTTTGTGTAATTTTTTTCACTACAGTAAAGTTGAAAGAATTTTTTTGAGGCAGGGTCTCCATATATAGGCCAGGCTTGCCTAGATAATATTGCCTTAGCCTCCCAAGTGGAAGGTGTTCCAAGCAGGCCCCATGTGCGCTGTGGCCTGTAACTCTCAGCTCCTCCCTCTGCTGTACATTCTTACTACTCCAGAGTCCAGATTCAGCTATGACCACATCTTGGGCTCATGTGTACAGACTTTGACACTTTCTTCAGGGAATATGGTAATAGGTGATGTCCTTGAACCCTGCCTCTAGTTCCAGTTCTCTGTCTTAGTATTTCTAGCCCTCTGTGTTTCTCCCCTCCCTGTTTTCATGTGACCTTCCTTTACTAGTCTCACAAATTCCTCTAATATCTTTTTCAGCTCTTTGGCTTTATCAACTTCTTCCTGTGGGCCGGGAACTGTTGGTTTGTGTTCAAGGAGACCCCGTGGCATGGACAAGGCCAGGACCAGGACCAGGGCCAGGGCCAGGGCCCCAGCCAGGAAAGTGCAGCTGAGCAGGGAGCAGTGGAGAAGCAGTAAGCAGCCCCCACCTGTCTACTCTACCTGGACAGCACCTCTTCAACATCTCCAGCTTCCAAGACCTCCCTCTTCCTTCTCCTCCCCCAACGTCCCTTTCCCCATCATTCTAGGCTTTGAGCTTTGAGATGACAGATGGGCAGGCATCAGCTGTCAGAAACCTGGGTAGCCCTCCCACTGGCTTCCTGTCCTTTCTCTTGCTGCAGCACTGGATGGCAAGAGCTCAGTTCTTCTTATCTACTGCCTAGACCCAGGCATCTTATTGAGGGGGTCTCACTTATACTTCTCTAGCCTCGGAGAACCAGATTCTGTTGCAGGCAAGGGCTGGGAGGTTCTCTGAGTTCCGGAACCCTAAAACTGATCCCTACCAGTCACCTTTCTATTCCCTATTCAGTCTTGATAATAGTGGAGGGGGGAGGTTGGTGGGTGCCTTGCCCCTGGTCCCTGCGTGGAGGGCTCAACAGTCGTTTGGTGATGTCCTTCAATGGCTGTCATTTTGTTCCTGTGTCTGACCTCAGTCTGCCAAGAACCCGTGTGCTTCCCACTGTCTTCTCTAGTCTCTGCTTGCCCACAAGTCCCACCGTGTGTGAACCGGGAGGCCCAAGAGCCTAGAAAGGGCCTGTGGAGGGTCCACATGAGGCCTGGATTCAGTGGGGGCAGATAAACTGTAAATGAGATACAAGTTCGGGAAGAAAGCCAGGAAAAGTTGCTGGCAAAATCAGTTTCTTCTATCCCCTTTGTCCTCCCACACTCCCGGATGGGGCACTCTAAACTCTACTTACTTTAGAAACTCCTTACCTTCCTCCCTGCCCTTCTTGGGCTTGGCCTCATCTCATACTTAGGACATAAGATGAGAGGCCTAGAAGTATCTCCATTTTGGGTTCCTTTTACCCCACCTCTCAGCCCATCTCCTTTCCCCTGCCTCTTGGGTCTGAGGCATTCAAGATCATTTTTGAAGTCTGTCCAGCCCTTCCTTTCATTCATGTGGAGCCAGATAGGGGCTTTGGAAGGATCTAAAGGACCATCACAAAGCTGAGTTGCCCCAGAGCCCCAGGACATGGATGGATGGGCCCATTTCTCCCTTCTTCTATGCTTACCCTCCCAGCACCATCGTCCATATTCTTCCCATCTTTATAATGCCCTCTTTTTGTTCCTCCCAGTCTTCCCCTGCTTCTCATTACTTCCAGGCTCTATCCCCTCCTCAGTCCAGGGCAGGCCGATGCTATTGGTGCTTCTTCACTTCGGGACCCAGTTCCATATTTGTCTTTGGTGTGTCTCCTCTTCCTGACACCTCCTTCAGTCTGTCTCTGGGCCCCAAGGCCTGAGAGTGCTAACTGGGTAAGGGCCACCTGCCTCCTGCCTGGCTCAAAACACCTCAGTCTTCCCTGATCACAGAAGGATGAAGACAGAAGAATCCAACCATTTTCCAATCCAGTGCCAGTTGGCCCACTTAGCATCCCAAGGGTGAATGTGGCCTGTACTAATCTCTCTTCAGGACTGAGTCAACCCCCTTCAACCTCCTCACCTCCCTCAGTGCTGTCCACACTTAGGTACCTGGGGCTTAGGACCTTTGACTTAGGGCCACATCCCCAAATGCTCCAGAGTCCTTCAGTAAAAGAATTAGAGTATTTTGTTTTCATTTTTAGATTTGGGGGAAGGGATTTGAGGAGGGAAGAAAGGAGATGGGGATGAGAATGTTTCTAAGTCTGAAACTCTGTCCTGAGTTGTCCCCATGGTTACTCAAGGACAAGGGGGATAGTTTTGCCTATAGATCCAGAGACACAGAGAACAAAGGGGTGACCTTCATTTTTCTTTATGCTGGCCCCTTTGGGGGTCTGTGAGCAGCTTCTTCTGGAACTTTGTTTGGATTTTGTGTCTGTATTTATAATTTATTTGAAATGTGATGGATAAAGTGTTCTCATTTGGGGGGTGAAGTTAGCAACGGGCCCTTCATCTAGGGAAAAGGTGGTATTCACGTCTGCCAAAGACTCCCAGCTCAGAGCTCTCTCTGAGGCAGAGAAGGCGCTTCCTTCTGCTCAAGAGGCCAGCTGGTTTTCAGCCAAAAGAGCCTTGATTTTTTTTTTTTTCTGTGATTGCCCTAAGAGGAAAGGCCATTTCACCTCATTACCTCCAGAGGGCAGGGCTGGGCCAAGTCCCAAGGGTAGGGCTGTCCTTATAGGACTTGTCCCCTCTGACCAGGGCTAGCATCACTGCTTTGCCTAGTGGAGCCAGAAGTAGGAGAAGGTGTCTGGTTTCTCCAGCTCTGCAGGAGGCTAACAGGCAGGGCACTTGCCCTTTGCCCTGGTTGACTCTGACCCTGCCATGGTGCCCAACTAGAACCTTTCTTAGACATGAGTTCCCACCAACATCATGGTCACTGGTCTCCTCTCTCTGGAATTGCAGATCAGGGGTGGGGGGAGAATGTTGCATGTTGTTTTCTGGTGCTTGTTATTACACATTTGAATAAACAGTGCTGCAAGCAGTTGCCATGAAGGAGCCAAGACTGGAGCCCTTCTTGGGATTTTTTTTTTCTTCCTCTCCTTTGCTTTAGTTCTTGGACAAATATCAGCATCTTTACCAAGACATCATTCCACTCCTGTCTACTCTGCACCCTATGCAGTAAAGTCTGACTGAGCAGTTGTTCTTGGCAGGCCCCAGTTTGGTGACATCGCCGCTTTTGGTGGCACCCAATTAGTCCAAAGTAACTGAGACTCATTAGCAAATCTGGAGCCAACTCAAAAGGCGGGAGATAGTGGCTTCCACAATACTGGTTCTGTTTGCTCTTCTACCATCTGTGACCCAAACAAGCTTCCTGTCAGGAGTTAAGGACCATATGCTTCACTCTCTTTACTATAAGGTTCTTGTGGAACAAACTTGCACCTCCATCCCCCTTCAGGCTGCCAGTCACATTCTACATCTACAGTCCCTAGAAAAATGCACTTGAACAATTTTACCTTCAATTTCACCAAGTTCCTGGAACCCCTCTCCTCCCTAGAGATCATCTATAGTTTTCAGGTTAAAAACCCTGCCCTCACTGTATACAAAAGAAGTCTGAGATCTCAATGTCATAGACCTTGACTTATATTTGCTCCCAAACTTGGTTTCCTTTTAGCTAAAAGGATGCAATATGGGGCGAGAGTGAGGGTGAAGGGTTGAGAAGGGAAAAGATTAATATATCTTTTCTGATGAGATGGGGGAAAGGCAGAAGCAGATTTTTGTGATAATGGGAAGAAATGTTATCAGCTGAGAAGAATGGGGTGGATGATTAAGATACTTTCCAGCCCTTAGCAAGAAAAATGACAGATCCGATGAGAAATATCCCTATGCCAAGGTTTCAGTAGCAGCTATTTCAGCAGCGAAAATATTCATTAGAAAAAGAAGCCAAAATGATGGATGGAGTCAGGGTCCAGCCAGGGTTTGGGAAGAGGCGGTGCAGGGTATCGATCGCAGTTCTCAGGAGAGAGCCGGATCAGCAGAGACGCTGCCTGGGGGCCACCCTAGTTCCGGGGCTGGCTCTGGCTGGGAGAGAGCCTTCTGTCATCCTGACAGGTGATCTTGGTCAGCTCAGCCAGGTCCTCCCAAACCAGACAACAGCACTTCAGCCCTCTGCTCTGCATCAGGGTAGCCCGGGGTTGCTACGGAGAAGAAACGATACAGGAGCCGAGGCCCTCCCCGACTCCAACCCCTGTGTCCTTCAGCACATCCTACAGACTCCCTCCCGTTGCCCTTCTGATTCACAGCGCCCACCTCCCTGCACCTACCCTATTCGATCTACGGGGGAACAGAGTCGCTTCGTGGCCGCCAGCCGGGGAACAGGCGCCAGCCAGCTGGCGGACGCACGGCTTTAGAGGGGCGTCTTGGGCAGAGGTTTGGGACTGAAGTGTGTGTGCAGCGAGCTTGGGAGAGTGCACTGGAGGCACAAGGGATGTGTGCACAAGGGTCAGGAGAGGGGATCTTGGGGCTTTGGTCTCCTCTTCTACCCCTGCAATTGTGCATTTTACGAGAGCTCTCTCCGCAAGCTTGGTAGGCATCAGCGCCTCTCGGAAACTACATTTCCCAGAAGGCTATGCGGGAAGGAGGGGGCAGGGCCAGGCAACTCGAGCTGCGCCTGCGCAAAGGGTGAGCCGGAAAGGTAGGGGGAGAGGGAGGCGTGCCCGCGGCGGGGCAGGGGGAGGGGGCCGCGCGGCGGCGGCGCCGGGGCGGGCGCGCGTCCGCGGTGGTGATGGCGGTGCGTGAACGCGCGGCGGCAGCAATGGCCGCTCTGGAGCGGCGAGTGCCGAGTCTCGATGACTTCGCGGGACAGAGCTGGAGCTCGTGGGTGGAGCGGGCGGACCTGCCTGCGGCCGACGGTGAGTACAGCCACTCTAGAGTCTGGGGACCCCATCACTATCTCCCCTCCCCCCTCCAGGCCCCCGCTTGCTGAGGGGAGCCGCCGACTGGAGCCGCCGTCCGGCTCCCCGGCCCCCCAAACAAAGGACCCGCCGGGTCCTAATGCCCGCCCGCTCCGCACCTCCGCGCCTCCGGGTCCTAGCGCCGGCTTACCGCTCGCAGCCCACCCTGCCCGCCTCTGTTTCTGCTCGTGCCAGTACATGCCCTCACATTTACTTGCTTTTATGTCTCTCCTTGACTGCTGGCCTTCAGCTTCCGCCCCTCCTGCACCTGCTCCGGCTCTCCCCATCCGCAGCAGTCCTCTCCACGTGTTTCCCACGCACCCCACTTCTCTGCCCCCCACCATAACCCCCTTGTTCCTTCGCCTTTTGCCCCACACCTCCGGCTCCTTTTCATGGTTTTCCTACGGCTGCAGTACTCTTGGACCTCTGCTTCCTCCGCATTAATTTCTCCCACCCATCCATCTATCCATCCTCCCTCTCTCCCTCCTTCAGTCCATCCATTCATGCCTTCAGCCCTCTATCCTTTCCCGGGCCTCCTGCCCTGCCTCTTGGCTCTCTCCCCTGACCCTCACCTTCTGAAGGCCCCTGAGTGCTTTTGGTGAGCGGGCCTACAGCCCCTTCTGATCTTTGTCTCCTGAGCCCCAGGAAGCACCTGGCCTCGTGGCCTTTGGGGGTGACAGCAGGCATCACGCCCCTGAAGAAGTTTGCAAGTGAGAAGGGTGAAGGAGGAGACTTCATGGAGCAATCTCTAATGACACTTGTTCTCCTTTGAGACATCTCACTCCCAGCTCTGTTCTGTCCATCATTCCCCACACTTGCATTTAAAGGACTTAAGAGTGGGAGCTGTCCCTTGTCTCTGGCATGCCTAACCCACCACCCCTCATATGTGGATATTATATAAATTGTCAATAATCTTCACATCCTAGAAACGGGCAATCTGTCAGTGAGCATCAGTGCAGACCTAAGTGGGAGCAGAAGCCACCCTGGGACTGCTCCATGCTTGGTGGGCAAAGAAGGGGCCATTGTCGGGGTCTGGGTGCATTGAGAACCGGAAATGGAGTCAGATGGGTTTGGTGACTCAGAATTGATTTTTTTCCCCCCCAAAGGACAGGAAGGGGGTGTAGAGAAGTGTGGGGGGGGGGAGGGGAAGAAGTAAGGCAGGGGGATGGAAAAAGAGCTGCTTTGCACAGCTAAGATGTTTTGTCATTAATCCAGACACTGAGGTACAAGGGCAAACTGCCCCCCCCCCAAGAAGGGGATGGGTTTGCCTAGCTGACCAAAGAGACTTTGAAGATGCCAAAGGGCCCAAACACAGGGCTCTTGTGACCCTTCTATCGGTGCAGGCCCTGAGAAGCTGAGTGTAACTTTGACAATGCTATCGTAACTCAGGTGGAACAAAATTGAGTTTATGGCAGTAGGGACCTGGGACAGTATCTGTTTGTGATGTCACAGAGTAGCAGAAAGGACTCCTATGAGAAAGCTCATAGGGACTAAGAGACCTACAGAAAAATTTCAGTAGCATTGTGCGCCTGTGTGCCCCCACTTCAAATGGGTGAAAAAAGCCCAGAAAAGAGATGATATTCTACCCAACAGTCACCGACTAGTCAGCCGAGTGGAGGATTGCTGAACTAAACCTTGGAGTGGGAAGGGGTCCCTAAGCAAGATTGTAAGGATTCTTTCTTAGAA